GCTGGCCAGAGCACGCCTCTCACTGCAGCGGCGGTGTCACAATTCCTAGAGGGGATCTCACAACCTTTGCCTCAACCCATCTTGTAGGGTCCAGTTCACCAACCTAGCCCGCCACAGCGACGCAAGAGGCCATCGGTCCCGGCACGCATGAGCGTGCGCATTACGGCCATGAACTGGCCAAGGGGTGACACTCAGGCGAAGGCCAGGCAAGTGCTTATGAAAAGGCTTGGCATCCTCAACGTCGGAGGTCTCAGCCATGATGAGGCGTTGCTGCGCTACTTCAACCTGTTCAAGGCACCACTCACCGACAACACCGTGAAGGCACTGACGGCATTGTGTTGCCTCGACGCAGCGGCAGCGCTACCCACTACGCACGCCTAGATAGTTGCTAAAGCACATGGGTAGATCATTGTACTATGTTAGTAATCGATCAACGCTCCGGGAGCTCTAGGAGTTCCACATCTTTTGTGAGTGTCCAGCCATGGTGCTTGGGCGGGGCGATAGCCAGAGGCCTATAGTCGCCTCCTCACCACACTGCATGGACCCTTCATCTCGTAGTTACCTGTAGCGCCAACTCTGTGAGCAACAAACTCTTGCTTTGTATCACTGCGCCGACAGCCACTGACTTTCAGATGTATCGGCGACTCCAATTTGCAGCTTTCATGAACTCATGCCTCTATGTGATTATGTTATTGCTTATTGCCAGTACCACAATGCCAGATGGCTTCCTGCTTGCCTACCTCCACAGAGTAATCTTAAATAGGGGCCCATTGGTTTCCTTACGGCACAGTTGAATTGTCAGATACTTAACTAGAATGTCAGGGGCTTGAATGATAGAGCCCGACAAGACTCGGTGAGCGAGTTAGTGAGAACCACTGGTGCCACCATCGTATGTCTACAAGAAACAAAGATGCAAGTTATGGATCATAATGTGGTGCGCCGAACAGTCAGAGCAAAATTTGTATACTCCTATACTGTGCTCCCGGTGGAACAGACTTGAGGAGGCATCTTCCTTGTGGTGAATGAAGACTTCTTCGACCTCTCCGACATTGTACTTACCTCGAATGCTATAACCGCGCAGATCAACATGAGGGCCGATGGAACAAGGTGGCAAATTGCAGTGGTATACGGCCTGCAGGGAGAGGCAGCCAAACTTCAATTCCTCCAAGAATTGAAGAACATTCCCCCGCCGGTCCACAATAGATGGCTCATCCTAGGAGATTTCAATCTCATCTACCAGGCGGAAGACAAGAACAACTCCAATCTAAACACGCGCCTCATGGGGGCATTTAGAGCGACGATCGATCAGTTGAGGCTCAAAGAAATCAAGCTAAATGGATGCCGCTTCACTTGGAGCAATCAACAGGACAACCCGACGCTCACTAGAATTGACAGACTACTATGTACCCCCGAGTGGGAGTTGTTCTTCCCCTCGTGTTTCTTACACTCCCTCCCATCGCTCATGTCAGACCATACCCCACTGCTACTCCAGGGAGAGCTTGACCACCATCGGAGCACGTCCTTCCGCTTCAAAAATTACTGGACTAAGATGGAAGGCTTTCAAGATCTTGTCCACAACACTTGGAATAGGCCGGTAGCCTCTGCTCTTCCTATGAAACGCTTGCATATCAAAATGGCGCGTGTGGCAAAAGCGATCAAGCGTTGGAAGAAAGACAAGATAGGGGATACGAGGATGCAGCTTGCCATAGTGAAAGAAGTATTGTTACAATTAGAAGCAGCCCAAGAGCATAGGTTGCTCACTGCCATGGAGCTTCACCTATGTCGCCGCCTCAAAACCCGTAGCACTGGGCTCGCAGCCACTGAAAAATCAAGAATCAGACAGAGATCGAGGCTAACATACATCCGGTGTGGAGATGCTAACACAAAACTTTTCCACAGTAGAGCCAATGCACGACGGAGAAAGAATTACATACATTGTCTACATACGGATGGGGGGATCGCGGTGGCTCATCAAGAGAAAGAAAAGGTGATACAAGATTATTTTAGAAACCACATTGGCTCCACGGTTCTGAGAGCTTCCACAATCAATTGGCAATCCCTTGGCTACAACCAACATGATCTCTTCGATCTGGAGGTGCCTTTCTCCTAGGACGAGATAAAAAACACTGTATATTCCATGCCTTCCGACAAAGCGCCAGGACCGAATGGCTTCACGGGTGCCTTCTTCAAAGCTTGTTGGGAAATCATTAAAGATGATGTTATGGTAGCCATGAACAGCCTATTCACATTGAATGCCTAGGGCTTCGAATGGCTAAACTTGGCTTCCATTATTCTTCTACCCAAAAAAGCGGATGCAACAAGAGTTACTGATTTTAGACCCATCAGCCTAGTCCATGGCATTGCAAAGATCTTCTCCAAAGTGTTAGCTAACAGACTTGCCCCTCGACTGAACTCCCTCGTCTCCAACTGCCAGAGCGCATTTATAAAAAAGAGAAGCATCCATGATAATTTTCTTTACGTCCAAGGCGCGGTAAAAAGACTACATAGGCAGAAGATACCGGCTTTGTTCATAAAACTAGACATCCACAAAGCCTTTGATACGGTACATTGGGGGTACTTGCTTGAGATTCTGTAGGCTCTGGGCTTCGGACAGTGATGGTGTGAATGAATCTCTATCCTCCTACGTACATCCACCTCGACACCCTTGCTCAATGGGCGGCAGGGGGCCACTTTTAACCATGCCAGAGGCGTCCGCCAGGGAGATCCGCTTTCACCCATGCTATTCATCCTAGCTATGGACCCGCTTCAACGTTTGCTTGACCTAGCAACCCAACATGGGATACTCACCCCCTTACCAATCACGGCGGCAAAATGGAGAACCTCGATGTATGTAGATGATGCAACCATTTTCATCAGCCCCACAAAAGACGATGTAGAAGTCGTCAAAATCATCCTGCAGGCTTTTGGCACATTCTCGGGACTCCATATTAATCTACAAAAGAGCTCAGTGCATCCAATCGGTTGTGCAAACGTCGACCTAGACCAAGTCCTATCACCTTTCACCGGCACTAGAGGGGGCTTCCCATGCAAATATTTGGGGCTACAACTCCACATCAGATCACTGCAAAAGATCCATGTGCAACCTCTCATAGACCGTATTGGGCACAGGCTACCCAAATGGAAAGGAAGATGGCTAAACAGAGCGGGACACCTCACTCTTGTAACCTCTGTCCTCTCCTCCATGCCAACCTACCACCTGACAGTGTTTCCTCTGGCTGCTTGGGCTAAGAAAAAGATCGACAAAATCAGGAGATCTTTCTTGTGGAAGGGGGAGGAGAATGCTAATGGCGGACACTGCCTAGTTAACTGGCAGACAGTTACCAGACCAAAAGACCTTGGCGGTTTAGGCGTCCCTGACCTTGAGAGATTTGGACGAGCCCTCCGGTTGCGATGGCTTTGGCAAGAATGGGTGGACGATTCCAAGTCTTGGAACGGCTCGGAGCTTCCATGTTCTGATGACGATCGTCTCCTCTTCAACTCCTCAATCATTATATCTTTGGGGGACGGTGCAAAGACTATGTTTTGGCACCACAGTTGTCTTGATGGACAAGCTCCTAAGAACCTAGCCCCGAACTTGTTCCGCCTAGTCTCAAGGACAAACCGAACGATGCAACAAGAGCTCCGGAACAACAATTGAATGCATAAGCTAGGAAGGAAAATCACCTCGGCTATCCACATAGAGGAGTTTGTATCCCTTTGGATACGAATACAGGATGTGCACCTACAACAGGGCATCCAGGACACCATCACCTGGCGTTGGACCAAGGATGGGAATTACTCCACCCACTCGGCCTACAGAATCCAATTCAGAGGTTCGCTCATCCCCTTCCGTACGGACTTGATTTGGAAAGCGCATGTGGAGAATAGATGCAAGATCTTCGCCTGGATCTTAGTGCAAGATAAAATTCTAATGGCACAAAACCTACAAAAGATAGGGTGGCCACACCAACAACAATGCGTGCTGTGCAACGGTCCCTTAGAGACAGACCTCCACCTATGTCTTTGTTGCCCATTTGCTAAGGCGGTTTGGGATCAAATCCTCTCGTGGAAAAACTTCACTCAACTGCAACAACAGCCCTAGGTAGACCCCACCCATATCAGGTCATGGTGGGAAGAAGCGGTAAGGAAAGTGTCAAGATCTGAGCGTAGGCGGCTTAACGGGGTGGTAATCTACACTTTTGGAATATATGGAAAGAGAGAAATAGGAGAATTTTCGACAACAAGATAGAAACGGTGCCGCAAGTAGCCGCAAGGATAAAGGAAGACATAGAGCAAAGGAAGAGAGCAATCGATTATGTTTAGCTTACATGCTTATGGGGAGGTGAAACCATAATCTCGTTTGTCCTTGCTTGTACATAAACTTTTTTTCCCTATCTTAATTGAAAGGCAGAGCTCCTGCCATTGCGTTAAAAAAAAAGTCTTAAGCTCATGTTGATTCCAACCTTACTGCCAGTGGCAACAGTACAGAATAGCATAACAATATGTAAAACCAACTATGCAGGGCCTCTTATAAGAAAAGGAAAAAAAAACTAACTATGACAGGGCCAATGTCATGTTTTTACTGACCATCACAATAGACCAGGGTAAGATAGTTAGGAAGCTGACAGTGACAATTACGAAGGATCAAACTCATAGCAGAAGCACGCATGTGAAACCCTTGGAGTTGTTCCTGTTGATAGATATGATATGAGCTATTTTGCTGATGACCGTGAGGACACAGAGTGGGGCACCATATAACGACCTGATTGATTTCCATGATCATCATCTTTACCTCTTGTTTACATATATAAGCTGACCAGCAAGAAAAGATGAAGAGAATCCCTATCTCAAAACTCCACTCTATCTTATATATAGATCTAACTATCTCTGTACGCTTAGATCCATATGTATACTTTTTTTTTTGAGAAAGTATCTCCAAAAGGCATCCCAATATCTTGCATCTTCGATATCCTGGAGGACCCCGGCCGGCCGGCCGGCTGCTATAGATCACTGCCCTCTGGTATGCTCTCCAGCGCAGGCCGCCACCCCCCACAGCAGTACCCCTCCTCCTGTTCAGAATCACTTGCTTCTTTGCGCATGAGAGACACCACGTCGTCCAGCGACACGCCCTCCTTGTCGAGCATCTTCTTGAGCTCCCGCTTGCTGATCACCAGCTTCACCCTGACCGTGCCCGCCGGTGCGTTCACCGGAAGAACGCTCGCCGCTGGCAGGGGCTGGGGCTCGCCGAGGGAGTCGTCATGGACCTTCATCAATCTGCTCGGGGATGGCACCCTGAGGACTTCGCTGCTGCCATCCACGCTCATGATCTTGATGATCTCCTTCCTGTCCTGAATCACCAGGCAGTTCCCCATGACGATGGCTGCCGATAGAATTGTGACGTGCTCTGACGTCTGAAGGCTGAAGTGCTCTATTGGAGCAAAAGATCACAGTTCACAGCTGTGAGAGGGGGTTGGAGGCAGTAGTGTGTGTTGTCGTTGTATTTAAAAGAAACGCTTTGTGAACTGGGACACATTGTTAAGGGCATATTTCTTTTAATGCCACTGGCCGACCAATCGAAGTTGCTTCACCTATGAGGCTATAGCCTATGCAAAAGCTTTTGTCCTGTTCGTTTGGCTGATAAGCCATGAAAGAAAGTATTGTTGGCTGATTTGTTGTGAGAGAAAAATATTATTCGTTGACTGAAAAAGTATGGCTTATAAACTAAGCGAACAAGACGATTAGCTAGCATAATGACTAACCCACTCAGTAGATATGAGGGTATCAACCTTCCCTTTTGTAACTTGTTGTTCTTGACTTGGTTTATTTGGCATGTTTTGTGTCAGGTCGATCTAGGGAAAAAAATGTGGCACGTGCGCAATGCATTAGCACAGTTGTCTTATTAACACTAACAAAAAATTTCACATCATAATAGTCACAACCTTTTCTGTGAGGATAATCGTCACCGCTTTGTTGTTTTCTCTAGTAGACTAATGTTGATTTGTAAAATTAGAAAACATTGGTCTTTTTGTGGTTCTGATCTTCCCCTATTTCAAAATATCTATTTCATCTACTTCAGTACTACTAGTGTTTTTTTTAAACAAGTACTACATACTAGTGTTGATCACGGGCATGGTAGTTACACACATGTCTCTTGATGTAGTTCTAGCTATATATGTAATGATGTAAAATTGTAACGAAATCCATGAAAATTTATTTCTTTTCAAACTTGCAAATGGCGAAGGCTAGACTAAACTTATGTCCTATTTGGGATTTGGAAAGTCTTTCTAGAGGGAAAAGTTGGCAATATCAAGAACATGCTGATATGCAAGCTGAGTGTAGCTCGGCTAGTTAAATTCTTTGCAGTAAAACCTATCCATCAGGGTTCAAGAACATGCAAACACAAGTGGAGTTTGTCAGCGATACGCTTGACTTCTGATTCAGTCTTTTCGATGTACTCGTAAAAGTGGGATCTGTGTTTATAAGGACATGAGTGGTTCACGGTTCTGCTTAGCCAGGTTCTCTTATCCAAGCTCAACGGATGCAACTGCAGTTGATTGTTTGTCAGTTTGCATCTAGCTAGGCTAGTGAGAGAATCTGATTGGTTGCACCCTACGCGTGCTGCATCCCACATCTCTGCTCTCTCAACTCTGCATCTTTCGAGCAGGCTCTCGCATAGAGCCAACCAGGCTCTCTCACCTTGTTTTTACTGGCGTTGACATGTGATTTTTTTTCATATTTAATTTTCTCCCTCTTCAATTTAAGCCGGCAATTTGTAAAGGTCATTGAAGACGCCCTAAGAGTAAGTATGCATGCATGTATATAATAGTTTGTGTCTCTACTGTGATTAGAAAATGCTAATGCAAGGATTGATGTTTACAAAACATTACGATGCATATGGGGAGAAACATTTGGGGGCAGGCGTAATCCATGTTGTGTGCTTGCTGCTAGCATTTGGAAAGCGGTGGAGGTAAGAATCATTCGCGTGCATGCTGTCGATTTTGCAGCTGAAAACGACGGCCGAAATGAATGAATCCAACAACACGCATGCTGGTATATGTGGGGGACATGCCGAAAAGGACCTTAGTGCATTAATCTGTAAAACATGAATTGCACCAAATTGTTTGTCTTCTAGATCGAGTTTCCCTGCAAGCACCGGCATCTATATATGTACGACGACATTGTGTCCTCGTGTTTTCGCGTGTTACACATGCTCTTAAGTGCTAATAAATCGACCCAACACAAGTGATATTCTTTTTTTATAGAGAAAATACAATTGATATATCATATATAGCACGACTAAATATGGACATGAGAGAGACTGCAACAAAAAGCTCTAAACATCATGCTACAAGATCGAGATAGAAGTCATAGAACGAGACTATCTCTTGAATCCATACCATATCTTGCCTTTTGCACTATTTAGTGATTAAAATATTGATTCAGCTAGCTCTAAAGCTAGAGTATTATAACATCTTAAGCCCTAGCGTATATGATCCTAGCTTGCATTTTCTTTCCTCTTTCCTTCACTTCCATTTTGTTTTGTACGCTTTCTAGTGCGCACTATGGAAAACACGTGTTTTTTTTTTGTGCAGCGACGACACGGATTCGGTTATGATGACGGACAATTAATTAATAATAAAGTGAGCTGCACTGAACTTGATCAGCCAAATTACCTACTAGACGACTCGTTCAAGCCTTTTAAACCTACCGGAGTATTCAGCTCCCTTCTAGTGGTACCAGTATTTGCTAACCCTCATGCGCACGAGCACAGTGAATTAAAATACTTCACTCCGTCCCTGAAGTCAAACCTTTTTATATTTGATTGAATTTATAGAAAAAAAATATAAATCTTATGATATTAAATAAGCATATTGTTGAAATATAGTTTATAAAATATCTAATGATGCAAATTTGGTGTCATAAACCTTAACTTTTTTCCATTAAGTTTAGTCAAACTTTAAAAGGTTTGACTTCATCACACAACTATAGAAATTGATTTATTTAGAAATAGAGAAAATAATAATAATAATAATAATATATAATCTACGAGGGCCTAGGTGAAGCATGATATTCAAATAGTACTTCCTCCGCCATCCATAAAAGGATGTAATTCTCACTTCCGCGGAATCAAACATTTGAAGTTTAATAATAATTATATAAAAAATACTAACATTCGCAACTAGAATCTGAAAATTCTCTGAGTGCATTTAATATTCATGCAGCTTTTAGCATTTATTCCCAACCAATTCATTGCCTCCGACAACGGACCATTTCCATGTGCCTCACACCAACCTGGTAGTGTTCTTTACTGCTCCAGGACAACTACACCAACCTGGTAGTGATTTATGATACAAAATAAATATCATTAAATGAATTATGAAGTATATTTTCATGGTAAATCTAGTTAAAAATATAAATGTTAATACTATTTATTATAAATTTTATTAAAGTTAAACTTGTTTAACTTGTACAAATTCTATATGTATCCTTTTATTGACGGTGTGATCGAGAAATAATTCAGGGGTTGTTTAGTTTGCTTTGCTTGATTTCTTCGCTTTGCCTTGTCTAGCAAGATTAACTAATTTGTCAGAGCTTAGATAAGCCAAATTGGATCTCTCATGCTAACAAGAGAAATTTTGCAGCGTGAACGCAAGCGAGACAAGCACACAAACTCGCATTTGTTGAGAACTTGTTTGACTTTATATTGCGTGGTTGAAAATCGGATTTGGTATAAGAAAAAAATAATCGGCTTATAATAAATCGACTAACTAAACGAACAGAACGTAGATTCTTTCTCAACGGCGTCGCAAAAAAAAATTGCTCAGTGGCTGGGGCGAGTGCGACTCATCACTCTCTTTTTTACCTAGTCGTCCAACGCTTTTTTTTGTACGCTCTTTTTTTTACCCTGCAGAGGCGGAGACGACCTGTCTGGTTTGCTCGTGAGTAGTGAACCTTCGCAGCTCGCACCACCGCGCGCATGAGCGGCTGTGGGCCCGGTTGTCCAACGTGGCGGGCCCGGATCGAGTGGCCTAGTGCGTGGGCGAGGGGTCAGGCTCAGCATGGGTGGACGTCGCGGGGCCCACACATGAATATATCTATCGTCCCGGGCGCCATGCGTGCTTGCGTGCATCGTGCACGCGCGCTCGTGCGCTGAAACGAAGACGACACTAGCTATAGCCACTGTGAACCTACTACCGCCGTGTCGACGACGACGACGGGAAGAAGTAGATCTGTTGTTGCTGTCAATGCTGTGTACTCTCTCCGTCCAAAAAAAATATAATTATGAAACCCGTGCTGGTCAATTATGCTCAAGTTTGACCAAGTTTATATAGTAAAGCCTCCTTTGACATGGCTCATCCAAAACGGCTTCACCGGTGAAGCCAAAGCCGGTGAAGCAAAAAAAAACTGGCTTTTCCCGACTTCTAGTTCATTTTAACCCCGGCTTACAAAACGGCTTCACGCTACAGTGCCTCGATTTACTCAAATTAGATAAAGCCGAAGCCGGCATAAGCCATGCCAAAAAGACCCTAAATATTATTCACATTTATGTCTCCAAATAAATTTATTATGAAAATATATTCTATGACTAATCTAATAATACTAATTTTGTATCATCAATGTTAATACTTTTTTTATATAATTTTGATCAAAGTATAAACTGTTTGACTTCTCGAAAAACAAAAATCGCATTCTACCGTGGACGGAGGGAGTACGTGGCACCAAAGGGAAATGGACGACGTATGGAATGGATGGAGCTATATCTAGCAGCAGATGGTGGGGCCGGCCGGCCAGTCTCAAGTAGTGCATTGTGAGAGGCAGAGGTCGGGAGAACGGGGAAAAGGAGGCGTGGAGGAGAAGTTGAGGAAAAAGAACAGGGATAGCGATGATGAATCTTAGTAGAGTAATTTGAGTTCTGTTTACATCCGTGTACCCTCAGAAAGTGCTCTCTCCCTCTTTATATTATAGGGGACTTGCCCTTTCACGCTAGCAAGCGTTTGCCTCGAGCCCATTGCTCTTCGATGAATGCAGGATTGGGCTTCCTTTGCCTTGGCGATCTGGGCGGACTTGCGGCCTTCCCCATCCTCGGTCCTCTTCTCCGTAATGCAGTGAGGCGTTCTTTGACATCCCTCCTCCTTTGGACACGGCTTGACCCCAAGCGGTGGCACGGGAAATTCTTGGCGCAAGGCTTCGTAGTCTTCCAGTGTAGCGAGCTCGTGAGCAAATTGTTCCATTTGACCAAACCGAGACACTTGCTTGTCAGCAGATGAGATGTGGAGCGAGTCTGCAGAATCTTCTTTGGAGCCGGATCTGAGGCAAAATCAGTAGGAAGTATTGGAATTACGATGAGATGTCCCCACAAACGTTTGAGTCGTGAAACGTGAAAAACAGGATGTATAGCGAGTGTGCCGGAAGATCAAGCTTGTAAGCCACCGTGCCAACTCGAGCCATAACACGGTATGGACCAAAGAAGCGAAACCGAGCTTTTGGTGTGAGCGGGGTGCCAAGAAAGTTTGGACATACGGTTGCGGTTTAAGGAAGACCATCTCGCCCACGTTGAAGTGATGTTCGGATCGGTCTTTGGTCGGCTTGCTTTTTCATGCGACTCTTAGCTCGATTGCAGCTTTTGCTGCGATAACTCATCCTGAACCACGCCTGTGAAGCTGCCAGTTGAACACTTCTTGATTGGTTGTTGAATTGGGGTTAACAAAGAAGCAGACGAGGTGGGTAGCCATACAATGCCTCGAATGGAGAACGGCCGATGCCGAGTGGGAACTCACACCAGGTGAGCCACTTACTCCATTTGGTTGGTGTGGCATGAACAAAACAAGTGAATCGTCTCGGGCATTGGTTGCGGTTTGGTCGGAGGTGTGTGCTTGCATAACTCGACATTGGCCAACCTGGAATAGCTCCGACCAAAATGGCTTGTGAAGATACGGTCTCGGTGAGAGATGATGGAGTGAGGCGATCCATGGTGCCGGTACACATTGGCGAAGAATGCCTTAGCCACGCATAATCGCAAAGAAAAGGATGGCGAAGAGGGATGAAATGTCCATACTTAGTGAGGAGATCAACGACCACCGGGATGCAATTGTACGATTGGGAAGTTGGAAGTCCTTACAATAAACTCAAGAGAAAGAACTTGCCATGCCGAAGTCTGCATCTTTGGCGGTGGTTTAAGCCCCGCAATTTAGCTCGATCATATTTGGATTGTTGACAAGTGACACAATCTTGGATGAACTCTCGACAGCGGTCTTCATGCCACGCTAGGCAAAACATTGCTTGAGTCGAGCATAAGTTAAACTGCGGAATGTCCACCCCAAGAGCTGGAGAGAAACTGTGTGATGAGGGACCGCTGCAGCCCAAAATCAGCGCTTGCCCACACGCGGGAGCGAAGCTTGAAGGATGCCTGGATCGAAAGGAGTACTTAGGAGGGAAGTAGGATCCGGTGTGAGTTTGGTGATCAGCTCATCGCGAAAGGATCATTATGGTAACTAAGCGGCCGACCACAGGCCCGGCCACTGGGGGTGCGAGCTGTAATGCATTGCACAGGGCCCTCGAAGCCAAGGGCCTAATCCCGGTATGTACACACTATAAGCTATATTTGGTATACTTTGGTCCAATAGAAAATCATATATGTGGCCCAAAAAATCTTTGGGCGTGTGAGGAAGAGTCTGTCGATTTCCCTTCCGTGGCCGCTCTCTTCGTTGCTTCATTGCATCTTCGCGTCCGGCGTCATTCTTTAGCGTTGTCGTAAATGAAGGGCCCAGCAAGCCCATAAATTGATAGGATTAACTAGGATGGCACCGCAGAGAAACATCATTGCAAGCAAGGCGGCCGAGGGTGTCGAGACAACGCGTCAGCCGCGCGATTTGCTGAACCAACCCTATAAACAATCCGATATTGGAGTCCAATCAGTTTGGAGAAGACTCGTTGTTGCCAATAGGTATGCAGTCGTTGATCCGTCAGTTGAGTAAGGCTCTTTTGGTCAGTGAGAATGACGAATTCCTGAAATTGCAGGTAGGAACGCCAAGCTTGGACTGCGAGAAGGATAGCCAAGAATTCTTTCTCGTACGTGGACAACCCCTTGGACTTAGTTCCCAGAGCCTTGCTAAGATATGCGAGCGGGTGATCGTCTTGCATGAGCACAGCCCCGACCCCTGCATCCGAGGCGTCGGTCTCGATGGTGAAAGGTCGTGCGAAGTTCGGTAAGGCCAGGATGGGAGACTGGCACAGCGCTGCTTTCAAAGCCTGGAATGCAGACTCGTGGTCCAGTGTCCAGATGAATAGGGTATGCTTCTTCAACAAATTTGATAGAGGCTTTGAAATGATGCCAAAGTGACGAACGAAACGACGGTAGTAGCCGGCCAATCCCAAGAAGGACCGGAGTTCCTTGGTCGACGTTTTTTTGCGCCCAACTTGGACGGATCGGTCTCCGCAAGACGGCGATGGCGTGACCTGAAAGCGATCCGACTTTGTGCGAAGGTGCACTTGGAACGTTTGAGCTGCCAATGATCGCGAGCCAAGAGTTCAAAGACCATTCTCAAATGTGTCAGGTGCTCTTCCATAGACCGACTGTACACCAATATATCATCGAAGAATACTAGAGCAAATTGTCACGAGACATGGTTGCAAAGTCATGTTCACGAAATGTGCTAGGAGCACCCAACAAGCCAAAGGACATCACACAAAACTCAAATTGCCCAAAGTTACGGAACGCGTCTTATGTTCTTCCCCATCTTTTCACCGGATACTGGTGGAAACAGTTGTAAGTCTAGAGTTGAAAACAGGCACCAACTAACTCATCCAACAGTTCTTGATGGCGGGAACAGGGCATTTGGCCTTCGTGAGTGATTGCATTCAACCTGGCGGTAGTCAACATAAAAATGCAGGTTTGATCTTTCTTCTTGACAAGTAGCACCGAGAAGCGATAGAGCTAGAGCGAATGATGCCTTTTGCAACATGTCGATAACTTTGCCGCTCGATTTTGATTTCAACATGGGAGCATAACGGTAAGGCCGACGACCCTTTGGATGAGCATCGGGAATCAATAGAATAGCGTGGTCGCGATCCACGGCGTGGTGGTAGACGGAAACCGGCTCAAACAAGCTGTGCAAACTCGAGAGTAAAAATCTGAATCGCAAGCGGCAAATGAGCGGTAGCTAAATGAGGTTCTGCTGAATCTCGCACCAAACATAAGCGAACGATGAACATGATGGCACGTGAGACTTGCCTAGTAAAAGCTATGATGAGAGCCACGATAAGGTATGGCCATCCATTGATGAGACGATGTGAAGCGTGCATGGGGTGAAAGCGCCCAACCAATCTAGTCCCAAAATCATATCATAAGCGGACAATGGAAACAACTTCAAATCAATAGAGAATGAGTAATTTGGACCTCCCAACAGCTGCAGGAATATAAATTTGAACAACGAGTGACATCGCCATTAGCTACTTGAACACTGATAGGTTGAGCCAGATTTTGAACACCCACCAACGACTGAGCGAGGGATGCATTCAGAAATGAGTGTGAGCTGCTAGAGTCGACCAAGATGGAGATAGCTATGCCCTAAATAGATCCCGACAAATATAGAGTGCCCGGTGCAGTTGAGCCTACCATTGCTGACACCGATAGGTGCATCATGATATGGGGGACGTCGTCGGGGACGCCGGCCCTCTCTCATCTGCATCATCAGAGATTGGCAGAATATCCCAAAGTTCCTGAACGAGGTGAAGCTGTACCGTCTCGGAGCATCGATGATCCGGCTCCACTTGGCGCCCAATGATATGCGTGCGTGCACAAAGGGCTTGCATCTTGTGATCAGTCGTTGTTGCGGCGACATTCACTGGGCGCCAGACCGCACTAGGAGCTTGTGGAGGCGGTGGCGGCAAGGCCAAGGGAGGCCCCCACCCGGGCTTGGAGTTGCTGGCTTGATCGAAGCGCCGGTATGGCCGTTTGGTGAGCCCCAACGCTTCCTCCTGCAATTCAGTCAACACGCAGGCAGTATCCAGAGTAGCTGGCTTGTGAACCATAAGAACAGCTTTAATTTCATCACGCAAGCCGTCAATGAAACGTTGAACATAGTAAAGAGGGTCTGGATGTTTAGCATAAGCTTTGAGTTCATCTACCAGCCCTATGAACTTCTCGATATACTCAGAAACAGGACTAGTTTGCCGGATTTGGAACAAACGACAAAGAAGGAGTTCGTGTTCATCGCGTGCAAAGCGTGACAACAATTGTGCACAGAACTCATCCCACCCCTGATTTTCAAGCTCTTCCTCAATTGAAGAGAGCCAACGCTTGGCTGGTCCCTGGAAATGCATAGTGGCAGCAGATAGCCACACAGTGGACTCGACACGGTAGAGTTTGAAGTAATGAACAGCCTGCTTAATCCACAGTTTTGGGTGGTCACCGTCGAATTTAGGAAAATCGAACTTAGGCAATTTCCCTATGTGATCCCCTCTAGAATCCCCCTGATGACCGGACTCGTAATGGTGTTGTGGGTGTGGATGTGGTGGGCGAGGCGGAGGACACGGAAGAGGAAACATGGAAGGAGGTCAGCCAGGAAACGTACCCTTGCCGGGCGGTGGAATCAGAGTGGTGGGCACTCCGAAAGCACCGTCCCGGGTCCCAAAATCGAAGCGGTGCCCGTCGGGCCTGTTGGCTGATGTTCCCGCAGATGTGCGCGGGGCAGCCTCGAATTCCCCATGCGCGGCCGACTTGTGTGTTGGTGATGGCGCAGGGGACCTGTTCGTCGGAGTGCGCGGGGAGGACTTGACGGTGGGGAGCGGAGCCACTGGCGAGGGCGGAGCCGACAGGGGCTTGGGGGCGAGCACGTCAGGAACGGACCCGTGCACACCCGGAGTCGGAGATGGCCCATCCACCATGGAGCGCTCCATGTACTTGGAGATCTTCCCGACCTCAAGCTTCAGGGAGGAGAGGCGCTTGACCTCCACGCGCAGGTCGTCGATGAAGCCATCGACGTCGGGGCGCCACTCATCGAATGAGCGGGCAGCGCTTTCCAAGGCATCGAGTCTGGATGAGGAGGAATCGGCGGAGGCGTCGAGCCGGCGCTCAAGACCGTCGAAGCGGGCGGCGATGCGCTTGTCGATTTCATCAAGGAGGAGCTTCTGGTTCGGATCCATGGCCCCAAGTTTCTTCTAGCAGCGGGTATAGTGTTCGTGTGAAGAGAGGGAGGCTCGATCCAGATCGACGCACACCACAAATCGTGATTCCTGGATCGGAATTACGGAATCCCCGAATCAAGCTGCAGTCCACAGGCCTCGATTCAGGGTTAGACCAACCAAAATACGGTGGAATTCAAGCGATCTATGGGGAACAGTGGGTCGGAAACGGAATCGGAGGCCGAGGAGCGTTGTCTCTGATACCAATTGTGAGAGGCAGAGGTCGGGAGAAGGGGGAAAAGGAGGCGTGGAGGAGAAGTTGAGGAGGAAGAAGAACAGAGATAGCAATGATGAATCTTAGTAGAGTAATTTGAATTCTGTTTACATCCGTGTACCCTCACGAGTGCTCTCTCCCCTCTTTATATTACATGGGACTTGCCCCTTTCACGTTAGCAAGCGTTTGCCTCAGGCCCATTGCTCTCCGATGAATCTGGGATTGAGCTTCCTTTGCCTTGGCGATCTGGGCCGGACTTGCGGGCCTTCCCCATCCTCGGTCCTCTTCTCCGTAGTAACAGCAGGGCGTCTGCTGACATGCATGCACTGCACACGCACGTCGTCTTTTTAGAAAAAAAATCGCACGCGTGAGACTCAGTTTTCGGCTTTCTCGCTCTTCCGGATCGGGACGGTCCATGTGTCCATATCACACCTACGTAAAACTCGTTCTACGTGTGGATCCAAATCACTACTGCGCGTGCCCTCTTTGCTCCAATAATGAACTCTCATCGGTCGCATGCATGCTCGATCGCTCTCCGTTCATTCGTTGGTAGTAGGTAGATCATCTTCTTCAGTACGTCCCGAAACAACGGTCTGGTAGTATGCGTGGCCAAGACGATGGCGATGTGTGTACTTAATTAGACACGTATAGTACGACATTGCACCTAGCTGCTAGTTGCAGCGGGCGGAGCGTACGTGAGGTGGCGAAACTAACCTTTTAAGGCCAAATATAGGAGATCACACCATCTATAGAGATGGTAAAAAACGATTAAAACGATTTATCGAGACGAAAAAAAATTATAAGTTCAATTTCAAAATCTGAAACTTAACATATATTTTTAGACCCTAAATAGTTTCAAAGAAAAGATTGTCAACCACGGAGTTACACAGTTTGCCTTCATCTGAATTCATCTAGAAAAACTGTTAATTGTTTGTACTAGTACTAGATTATAATATATATTTCAACAAGTGGAACTATAATCCGGCCAGCTCCAATCTACTAATTGGATATTATATATACAGTTCAAATATTCCAAGCAAACCAAATTATTATAATCCATAACCTAAATCATTACTGTAATCCTAATATCATTGTTAGTATAAGACTATAATAATCCTATATATAATAAGTGATTCAAAGGGACCTAAATCTCAAGGAAGATGGTAATTAAATAAATAAATAGGAAATCTAGTAAAGGAGAAAGAGCCTCTTCGCCTGCTCACCACATGGACCAAGCCTTTCAGTTTGGGCCGTGCGAAAGTAGGCGGGCCTGTAGATTAGTGGCTGTGCCTTGCATATTGCACGGAGATTGTAAAGTACTGGAATTTTGAGCCCACAGATTTTTCGGCTAGAGCCGAATTTCTGCATTTTTCATGCTGTATATATATATATATATATATATATATATATATATATATATATATATATATATATATATATATATATATATATATATATATATATATATATATATATATAGTATATTCTTCCTGTTTGGAAGTCAAGAGGAAGGCATAGAATGCTCCCTAATTCGGGCACGTATGATATACTAGTTGAGGCTAAAAATTATTCTAAATTAACTATTGTTAGCTTGGCTAAAAAATTAGACCACCAATTATTAGTTCTCCTATTTCGATATAATAGAGCCAATTTTAACTAATTTGTAGGTAGCTAGTAGCAATTTGTTCTTGTATCAAACATGCCCTCAATCTTGGAGCTTGAGGCAGTTTCCCACCGCAACGGCGGGTTCACCGGCCGGCCAGGCCAGCCTAGATGCAGGGAACTAAGGCCATGTTTAGATCCATAGAGTTAAACATTAGTCCAGAGCTAAAGATTAGCCATTAGAATAAAGGGGCTAAAGTTTAGCATATAGTGTTGTTTGGATCCAGAGCCTAAAGATTAGTTATATACCCTAACATGACATATTTGTCCCTAATTAATACACATGCACATGACTAAATGGGGTGGGTAGGGGTAATATTTGTCTTTTACCTCACATGACCACTTTTAGCCTTCTTTAGCCGAGGGGCTAATTGAAAGGGGTGAGCTAAAGTTTAGCCCCACTTTTTAGCCCTCCTGTTTCATCAACGAGGGGTAAAATCGGAGCTAGCCAGCTAGGTGTAGTTAATGATGCAATATAATGGCTTTGACAGTGCTTGCTAATAAAACAGTTGCATTACTGGTGAAAGGGTCCATGGATGGAGGTGGACTGCTGTATGCCCAAGCTCTCACTTTCAGTTTCAGGGAGACAGGTACTACTAGTTTCTTTACACAACGTACTCATTTTCAGGTGGTTGTGTGCACGAGCGAATTGAATCACTTCACAGCGGATTTATTTAGTATTTATTGCTGTAACGTGACAGAATCGGATGGACTATAGGATTACCTGTCCATTGAGTGCTTTAGCGAAACCTTTCTTTTGTTCGATTTGATTTCTCTTCGCCATTTGCGTTTCAAAAATTTCTCTTCGCCATCTAACCAACCAATCAATCCTAATTATGTTGTGGTCTGTACACGGCTCACAATCTGAAAATTTCTTTACAAGCATCGTGCACTCTAATCCTGTGAGTGTCAATCAAACTCGCAGCAAATCAAAACAAGCAAGCCAGGATAAAAACAAAAGCAACCAAAATTTGTCATCAATTTCTACGGATTTGATTGAACAGGATCACGTATGTACACAGCTCAACTACAGCTAAAGCGCAGGCGCAACCAAACCGAAAGCCACACCACAACTACTACCCCTGCCTCTGCCTGCACGCGCGCGCTACAACGGCCCAGATCTCGCCACGCGTCCGTCATCCTCCATCTGGGCCGCCCACTCCGCCGCCCGCCACCCCGACGCGAACCGCCGCGCGCCTCCCAGCCCCGGCGCCAGCGCCGGCTCCGCAACCGTCACCTCCTCCTCCGCCTCCTTCCGCCTCGTCCCCGCGTCCGCCAGGGGCGGGAACGGCGGCTGCAGCGGGGACTGGTCGACGCACTCGACGGCGCCGCTGTGCCTGGACCGGCTGCGCCGCATCAGGAGGCCGAGCCCGCCGCAGCACACGGGGGCCCTGGACCCCCCGCCGCGCGGTGGGCGGCCGAGGCGCGCGCGCTCGCGGTCCGAGAGCACCTTCCCGATGCAGGACACCTTGGGCGACCCGGGCTCCGGGACGGCGGCCTTGGGCGCGCGCCCGCCGCCGCCGGTCTTGGCCTTCTTGGGGAACATGGCCGGCGGGTGCTGGTGCCGCCGCACGGACCCGCCCAGCTTGCCCGACAGCCCGATGATGGGCGCCGCCGTCGGCTTCAGGTTGCCCGAGAACCTCTGCGAGGACCCGGCGCCGGGGTGGTTCTTGACGACGGACTTTGGGTTGGTGTTCTCCTTGAGGGAGTCGTCGCGGTCGTACACGCCGTTGATCTCCGACCACGCGATGTCGTCGACCAGGCGCAGCTGCGTCGACTCCGGCGGGTCGCCGCCGAGGTGGTCCCGCGAGGCGGCCATGGCGGGGACGGGGAGAGGCCGAGAGAGAGGCGCGCACGCGATGGAGGAGCTTGGAGTTTTGCAGCTTGTGCTTGGCTCGGTTTTCCGTTTTCCGACGTGTGGCGTGGTTTTTAAGGAGTTTTTGCATTGTTGACTCGTTGGGACTGCCATCTGCACAACTTTTTTTTAATTCTTTTTCTTGGTTTATTTTATTCGTTCAGTTAGAATATGTTGTGCGTTGACCTGGCGTGTAGCGCGTGCACTTGGACTACCGAGTATCGACACTTTTTTTATGCAAAATTGTGGAAAGTGAATAGCCTAAGACCGAGTGGATTCTGTTAAAGTTACAGTCATCGGTAAAACCTGTTCTGCGTAGGTTACTTCAGCAGTAATTTTCAGCGATGGAATAGTATTTTTTTTTTCATAATAAATCAGTATAAGTATTAATATAAATTAAATTTCAGTGAAATAAATAAGGCTAATAGGCGTCTACCTTTGTTATTGTTGATCAGGTGTAATGACAAGACTGATGTGGCAGAAATACCTAATCTAATGCCTCTCAGAAGTACTTATCTTTTATTAGACACTAAATACTTAAGAGATGACACTAAACTACGCAGTTCCATCGAGCACACCCCAAAAAAGAACTCGAAAACCTATATTTTTTCATCAGGATCATAAATGAGGGAATAAAGCTTACAACATTCTTAAACCATTTCTTACATCACTTTATTACAGTAACCGAATATTACCTCAATTGATTATAAGAGTGGAATATAACAATGCTATTAGAGTTATAGAGGAAGCAAAGAATATGAACTGAGATCACGACATACATGCTACCTCCAAAACCACATCCTCTTGGTTATTTTAGGGGAACACTATCTCATGAACCCGTTATGGATTTTCCGTTCGAACACCCGAATATTTCCAAAAAGAATATTTTGTATCAAGAATGGTATGGCGGTGTAACTTAGTAAAGGTACTTAGTCAACAAACTCGATACCAGCACATGTCGAGCAGTGTCACCATGTGGCAGCTGTTCCACAGGGACCCTCGGTTTCGTTGCGGCACCATAAGCTATTAATCAGGCAGCTATTACCAACTTACACGCAATGAAGGCGGTGGGGTCATAGACCACAGAATCAGAGGAGTATTGCAAGAAAGATTCAGACAACAAGGGTTCATTTCGCAACAAGGGACAAGAAATTCAAATCCCACAACAGATTTGATTTAAAGAGATTCAACTGTTCTACTAGGACATCGACAATTAGTTGATACAGTGTCCTACGTATCCCATCATGGCCGGTCTGCTCGCATCTAAATGTTTGCTCTCTTGTAACCCACTTAACATCGTCCCTAAAAACCCTAAGCACGTCTAACGAGACCTAAGGGCAGATGGACGCAATAAACACAACGAAATAAATAAAATACACATTCCGAACGTCCTTATACTGATACAACATACATGCACTCACTCTCCCATTGTCGACATATCGTTCACCTTCCTTACGACCAGCGATCTCAACAACTACGGACGAAATACATCGGAAAGATTACAATACTATAGGACAATGATGAAAGGCACCACTAACTATGGGTACATCTTCACAAGGCAACTAATGTACTTTGTCTGACCACACATCTTTATTCCTAGGCTCGGTGGATTCTTTTACCGTCCTGGCTAAGGATCTACCTCCTTTCTTGGCAGTGGCTGGCTCTACTTCTGATACCTCTGAGGGTGGGGGTGCTGGTGGTACTGCGACACCGGTTCTCCTTCTTTTCGGTGGGTGGACAGGGATTTCCTCCAAGATCAAGGGATCCTGCATTTCAGCGGCCAACGTCCTACGCTTGGCCCTGGTGATAAGGTAGGCCTCTCCCAACTGATGGGCATGCCGATCTTCAGCCTCCTTTAGAGCTTCTAACATGGCAGTTTCCTAACTCTATGGCTGCCACACTGGCACGCGCTTCAGAAGCTACACCTAGAGCATCCTAGAGAAGATCTCGGCTTCCTCAGCTCGCCGAATGCACTTCCTCAGCTCCGAGGCTTGTCGATCATACTACTCATCCAGAGTAAGTAGGTATGTGGTTAAGTGCACCACGGTTGGGCTGTCTTCTTACGCATCCCGCCCTTGCAAAGCCTCCATGCAAGCCCTCCATACCCATTGATTCATTTCCAAATGTGGAAAGAACCTCATAGGGGTACGAGCAATGGACTCTTCATAGATTTGGCAAAGGTGTCGCAAGGCTTTGAGGGCCACAACTTGGTAGGTATCGACGAAGCAAAACATGGTTGCGGTCACATTCTAGGCTTCAGTAATGTCGGGGAACTCCTCACTCTTTCCAATATAGACGGTAACTTCACACCACTCAGTGCCATGCTTTTCATACTCATGGCCCTCATACTTGGGGCGATATTTGACTCCAAGTTTTTGTAGAGTGGCATGTAGGATTTTATGAAAACCCTTAGTGTTTAGGAAGTAACTGCTAACCCAGGCTCCTGCCATCCCTGGTGGGTGGTTGCAAGGGAGGATTGAGTGAAAAGCTTGCTCAAAAGGAAAATCTAGGCGAGCTAGAGTACACTAGGTGGTGATGCCAATGGCTAGGTCAGCCCTTCTTGTAATGGCAGAGCGGTCAGTGGTCCTGGTGCAGTCCACCTTCGGTTTCTACGCGGGACCACTACAAATGAATCGATCAAATTTTTCGCACGTTTAAGGTGAGCGATGTCCGAGGCCATTAATGACTAGTACAGCTACAGAGCAAGGGTCCAGCAAGAGCGTAGAAACGAGTACGGAGAGATGTGGGTCACGACTAGGCATGAACCATAGGCGAACGCAAAGCATGAAGCCACAGTACAGCAGTAATTCTCGAACAAGGGCTGGTCAGTCATGCACCATACGACTCGCGTGACATCTATGAAGGGCACACCTACCAGCAATACGGTCACGATGACTAAAGCAGTACCGACGCGACTGACTGAAAGATCATATACTACACTAGAGTCAGTCCACCAGAGAAAACCTAGTTAAACCTATTTGGATGCTTAACCATAGCAATAGGGCTATCTATATATTTCATAGTTAAACGCCCTAACTTTTGCAAAAATAGGTTATCAAATTTTAGTTTAGAAAAGGATTTTGAAGCTTTATTTCCTCATTTATGCTTTGATACCACATGTGGCAGAAATGCCTAATCTAATACCTCCTCCTAAGAGTACTTGTCTTTTCATTAGACACTAAGTACTCAAGAGAGGACACTAAACTACGCAGTTCCATCGAGCACACCCCAAGAGAGAACTCAAAAACCCACATTTTCCATCAGGATCATAAATGAGGGAATAAATCTTACAACATTCTTAAGTCATTTCTTACATCACTTTATTACAGTAACCGAATATTACCTCAATTGATTATAAGAGTGGAATATAATAATGTTATCAGAGTTACAGAGAAAGTAATGATTAATTTTAAACATGATGGAGCATTAACGTAGTGGACATTTATATACAAGAGATGCTAGCAGATTTTACATCTTTTCTTATAAAAACCTTTAGTGAGGGTTATAAACAAACACCACTGTCGTAGCGTGAAGGAATCCTCTCTGAGCCCACCAGGAGGTTTCCACACACAAGAGTCAGCTCTAAGTATCCTTCAATCACCTGCAACAGGAGAATAAAACCCTGAGTACTCAATTGTACTCAGCAAGACTTATCCGATAGGAGAAAAATAAAAGACTCCAAGGATATGCAAGGCATATTTAGCTTGTGGGTTATTGCATATGCGGAAGCATTACTAAACGTAGACTTATAATCAATTTTATTAGCAGTCATCATCAGTTCATTAACTAACCATTCTATGTAAGCACCTATGCTACTTTCAAGCGGTGGTAAGTAATTAGAACCATTTTATCATCTTTTAAGTTTCAGTTCTTACTACGGTGCTAGACCATAGCCAAGTCGGTACCGTCTCATAGAAACGACGATCCATGAATCATTGTATCATAGCTGGGTACCCTAAAACACACATCCTATTTATTCCCCAGGCACAAACAAGACCAACCCATTCCACTTCTATCACAGGGTCCAGGTCCCCCATCCAAACTTGGACTCTAAGCCCCCATACTTGAGACCCGGTCTCAGTATGGTGCTTAGACCTTCACCTTTCTCCGCCTCCAATCAGTAGGTCCAGAAAGAGCCGGAACCCACGATAAGAGCATAACGCTCCTATAAGCAAGTATGTGCTTAGGATAATAAGTCCGTGACCTAACTACCATCCACATCAATGGATGGTCCTCAATCGACACAGACAAAACAAGTGCAATTCGAGTCTCGCTCGAATGCCTAACCAAGTCCAGATCCAAAGTACCATTCCGTCTGGTCTCCAATTATTCCCCATATATATTCCATGTGATAGTAATATAATAACAACAATAATATCTTTCCTATCTCTCACGAATGACAGGTAATCACTCAACTTCAATCGGATCCTACAGCCTAGCAATCTACATGATCCCAACATACTAGTAGGACTCATAGGATAAGGATATATATGCAAGTGGTTTTCATTCAACTCAAAACTTAATGCACAAGCATAAATTAAAGTGCGGAATAATAGGGGTTATGCACCGGGGCTTATCTGGGTAAGATATAACTAAAAGTTAGCATTCCATCATGGTGACATGATCATCAAGGCACCATCTTTTCTGTTTTCCTGGTCGACTCCACAATCCATCGTTATTCCTATTATGATATATGTGGATGCAACGCAGAAAACGTAATTAACTAATGACAACTGTAATTCTAAAATACGATTATGCTCCGCAAGCTAATGAGCTAGCTTTAATGACTAACGTACTAGGCTACGTATCCGCATTATCAAGTAAGGCTTTGTCTCCGGGAAAATGTTTTGGTTCTAAAATCCCAAGGTGTTTTGGCATTTTATTGATTAAATATATATTTTCGAACAAGGGCTCATTTAGCTACCTGCCTACCTTAACAAACTAATTATTATGGAGCTACAAAA